AGGAAAGTGTCTATCACATGGAAATATTTCTTCACTTTCAGCCTTGTGAGGTCTTCATTTTGAGGGTAGGTTGTCTCCATCTTTTTTTCTCCATCAAACCATGTCTTCAGCAGCTCTATTTGCTGATAAAGTCCATTTTGGAATGCAGCTATGGAACTCCTATCCCAGTCAGTCTGAATTTGAATTTTGCGGAAGATAGTGAAGCTCTGTTGGAGGATCTCCTGGATTACCATCATGGCGTTCTCCTTCTGGAATTCTGTGGAGCTGAACAAATTCTGGAGGGATATAAAGTTTGATTTTTCATTTAGACATTGCACAGGAAATTGTCCTCCCATTTTCTCCAGAAGTTTTAAGCTATCTTGGTTCACTTTGTTTTGCTGGAAGAGAAACATGTTACAGTCCACAAATGAGATTTTGGTGGAGATGTGCAGGACAAGGCAAATATGCAGGAAACTCAGGATACTCATGCTGATGTTGTCTTAGATTCCCTGTTTCTGGGTGAAGATTAGAGATTGTGCAAGTCTTTCGTAGTCTGATGTGCTGTTGTTTTTTCACCCATGTCTCTGAATTTAAGTATTCTGTAATTTTCTTTTATCACTTTCTGTATCTGAAGATTCTCATTCACTAATTAGGAATTTTATTTTCACTTTTCTGCTTTTTAATAGTTCTCTGTTAGTTTGAACTTTTCAGTATTTCTTTCCTTTTTTAAAAAAAGTGATCAAATTATTAAAAGCATAATGATTTGACTATTGTGTGGTATTACTTGTTATTGCCAAAGCAAATTTCCATTTGATCCGAAACATTTCCTATACTGAAAATAGATCAGCTGAGCTGTGCTAACACATGAAAGTCCCTTATAAAAGGGCCATCTGTGTTCCCAGCTCCTCCTAATCTTAATTCAGAATCCCCTTAAATGTTTACTAATCAAAGTAGTTTAATGAGTACATAAATGAATAATGGAAGGGTAAACACTCTTGGAGAGGTTTTGGGCCAGCTCATGAAGACTAGTCCTTTGCTAGCCAGAATGACTCAGGAGGATTATGTATAAATGTGGTATAAAAATGTGTTTTTAATATTATTCCTTTTTTCTACCCATCCCCTTTGACTCGTCTGTTGTATGCTATGTCTTGTCTTTTTTAGCTTTTTTTTTTTCTTCTTCTTCTTCTTCCAGGCAAGAACTTTTTTCTGCTTAGGACCCTGAACATCACAGCAATGCAAATTAATAATAACTGACAGTATATTCAGATATTTCAAGTAGATGCCAGCACAGAGCTCATAGACACACCCCTTCTATAGGGGTATGGCTATAAAACAGTGTTATTCTGAAATAACATAGTCCCCATCTACACTACAAGCAGTTATTTTGACTTAATGTCAAAATAATGTTGACCTGGAGGACTTCTTACTCTGACTCCTGTAACCCTCATTTCATGAGGAGTAAGGAACTCAAAGGAAGAGTGTTCTTCCTCATAGACTCATAGACTTTAAGGTCAGAAGGGACCATTATGATCATCCAGTCTGACCCCCTGCACAGCGCAGGCCACAAAATCTCACCCACCCTTCCTAGAATAATCCTCTCACCTATATCTCAGATATTGAAGCCTTCAAATACTTTGAAGTGAGGAAAATCTTTCTAACTGTAAGGGGTTGTTAAGCACTGGAACGGATCACTTAGGCTATGTCTGCACTGCAGGCTTTTTGCGCAAGAATGGCTGTTCTTGCTCAAAAGCTTGCAGAGAGTCCACACTGCACGCATGTTCTTGCGCAAGTAAATTTACAGTAAAGCATCAGAAAAGAGAGTTTCTTGTGCAAGAGTTATTCCTCACCCCATGAGGAATAAGCCCTATTGCACAAGAGGGCAGTGTGGACTGGCAACAGAGGTTTCTTGCGCAAGAAACCCCTATGGCTAAAATGGCCATCAGAGCTTCCTTGCGCAAGAGAGCATCCACACTGCCATGGATGCTTTAGCGCAAAAGCACATCTCTTGTGCAACAGCACATAGCAGTGTGGACATGCTCTTGCACAAGACCTTTTGCACAAGAACTCTTGTGAAAAACAGTTCTTGTGCAAGAAGCCTGCAGTGTAGATGTAGCCTTAAGCTATTGCTACACTATACAGAATATACAGTGGCACAGCTGCCTTGCTGTTAGCACTGCTAATACAATGCTCTAATCCAGTGGTCACCAACCCCTCAATTGCAATTGACCAGTCGATTGCAGCACCCTTAAGAGTCAATCGCTGCGGCCAGCTGGTCATGGTGTTCAATCTGCCAAGGCTACGCGGCGCTCCAGCTGGGCTGGATCAAAGAGGTGCAGTTGCCTGGCAGCACCTCTGTGTTAACTTGCTGGCTGGGAGGGAGGTGTATGTGTGTGCACACGTGTGCATCCCCAGCTCTTGCCTCCTACGCCGTGTTGTTCCCTGTGGGCTGTGTGCGGGGTTGGAGGGTCCCTTCCCCAGCAGCTCGCTGCACCTGGCCAGGCTGGAGCCAGCTCTGGGCAGCCCCGGGCTCTGCCTGCCCCATCCCAAGCTCCAGAGCCACTGCCTGCAGGCAAAGGTCTGGGCCGAGTCGGGAAGAGACTCTGCTTCCCCCCCGCAGCCCAGGCCGTGAGTCCTAGCGCTGCTGTCTTGCCAGTGAGTGTGCTCGGGGTAGAGGGATGTGAGGGAAGCATGGGAGGGGCCAGGGATTGCACTGAGGGGCACGGGGCGATGCAGGGGATCAGGCTGGGAGGGGATCATGGGGCTGAGGGGAGTGAACTGGAGCAGAGGGAAGATGTGAGGGGGGGATACAATTTGCAGATGCTGAACTTTTCTGTACTGCCCACTTTGCCTCCTTCCCCAGCTAGGTATTTGGCTGCATTCTTACCCTCTCACCTGTTCTGCATTACTCCCTCAACCCTCCCAACTCCCTTTCCTGCTGCAAACTCCCTTCCAGACCCTGTCCTCCTCACCCCTTTCCTGCACCCACTTCCCACCCAGATCCTTTATCCCTATTGCACTCACTGGCAGCTCTGTCCCGCACATTGAAACCCTCATTTTTGTTCCCACCCCAGAGCCTAAGGGGGACCACAAAATCCACTAACTCTGGCACCCCAGAAAAGTGAATCTGCCCTATGGGAAGCCCTGAACCTCAATCCTCCCTGTGCCTTCCCCATGTCCTGTGGGGGCTGGAGTGCCAGAGGAGTGAGGTGTCTCAGTTGGAGGCCACATCACTGAGGGCTGGGGGTTTGGGGGAGTTTTTTTTGCTTCTCATTTGTGTGGTCCCCAACTGATTTTTCTGTGGGCCAGTGGCTCCTGACCCCAAAAAGGTTCCCCACCCCTGCCATAAATAAAGAAAACATTGAAACCTTTTGTCGGACATTATATTTTACTTTATTTAGAAAGACGTTTAATAAACTAACACAAGGAAGTTAAAATGCTTAATCTGTTTAATAATTTAAATTAAACTGTTCTCCCCAGCTGCAGCCCTAGCAAAATGGCTCTGGCATAGTTATGTAATTAACAGTGAGTTTCCATTAGCAACGGGTAATCTGCAGAAAGGTTTGGAGAGGGCGGAGCCTCAAGGAAGGGGTGGGGTCTCGGAGAAGGGATGGGGTAGATCCGGGCTTACCCTGACATTTAAAAAGTAATCTTGGATGTAAAAAGGTTGGTGACCACTGCTCTAAGCAGCCAAACACCAAACAAGCTGCCAAACAAGACAGATCTCCCTTCAGCTTAATTACTCCAGCCACCATGAGCAGCAGTAATTATCCTGGTGCTTAGGTCAGTGTAATTCTCATCACTCAAGGCAGTGCCTTATTTCCACACCTGCGTGGAACTTACACTCTACATGGCCCTAGGGAAGTTGTGGAATCTGTCTTCTTAGGTTTTTAAGAACAGATTAAATAAACACCTGCCAGGGATGATCTGGTAATAATCTTGGCTCAGTGCAGGGACTGAACTAGCTGATCTATCAAGGTTCCCTTCATGCCCACATTTTTATGATTTCTGTGAATATAGTCACCAATGACAGGGAAGCTGGTTCATAGTACACAAAACAGCTCAATACTTTGAAAAGCCCTCTTCCATACTGTGAAAATGGTTGAGAATTCCTGAGATTAACTAACAGAGCAAGTCTGTCTTCATTAATACCATTTGGAAAGGTTGATTACCACACAATTGGTAAGGAATTGTTGTGAACTTAAAGCAAACCAGTTCTGAGGTAATTGTTATGGTAAATATGTAAGTATTTTAAGATATCATCATTTTTATGTCATTAATTCAAATAATTTCTGTAGTAGATTATAGTTTGAATAAAGTAATTTTATTTATAAATATGAATAAGGCAATAAGTACACATATAAATAAACATTGATCTGTGGACAAATTATGAAAATATATATTTATATAATAAAATATTTATGATAAATCTGAAAATATTTTCACAGTAGAGAAAGAAAATAAATTAAAGCCATTAAAGGCATCCTACTTTTTGCATTTAAAAAGTGAGCAAAACATTACTATATTAAAATACATCTTGTTGTTTAATTCAAGGTACAAACTTTTAACTTTGTAAAAGTAACTACTAGAAAAAGCAGTGGAGACCGAAAAGATTCCAGCGTAGAGTCCAGTTTTATTCAGCAGATTTTCTTGTTTCAGTAGTAAAAGTGTCCACCATCAGCAGCTGCAATGGAAAAGGAAACTGGATCAAACATAGACAATACTTCAATAGTGAAATATTTAGAAAATGATAAGTATATGTGAGTCCTGATCTTGATTGGTGTTTGATTAAAGTAGGCCAGTTTTTATTCCCCTGTCCATTTCATAAGCCTATTAAATAAAGTCCTATCCTTGGTTCTATTTTATGTGATGAATATCAGATAAAGGACACAACTGAGCCTATAGAATAAAGGATACAACAGAACTTATAGAATAATTTTAGAAAATGAAAGCACAGCATGTTTACTTGTTTTCCCCTAAACTATTTTTTTAGTTACTTTAGAAAAAGTGTTTTGTATGATACCTTAGTTTTTAAGTCTTTTTGTGAGTTGGTCAATAAACAGAAAACATCTCCTCATTTCCTCGCGGATTATCTCACAGGCACACCGGCTGTATTGCCTTTTTTCCAGGAAAGTGTCTATCACATGGAAATATTTCTTCACTTTCAGCCTTGTGAGGTCTTCATTTTGAGGGTAGGTTGTCTCCATCTTTTTTTCTCCATCAAACCATGTCTTCAGCAGCTCTATTTGCTGATAAAGTCCATTTTGGAATGCAGCTATGGAACTCCTATCCCAGTCAGTCTGAATTTGAATTTTGCGGAAGATAGTGAAGCTCTGTTGGAGGATCTCCTGGATTACCATCATGGCGTTCTCCTTCTGGAATTCTGTGGAGCTGAACAAATTCTGGAGGGATATAAAGTTTGATTTTTCATTTAGACATTGCACAGGAAATTGTCCTCCCATTTTCTCCAGAAGTTTTAAGCTATCTTGGTTCACTTTGTTTTGCTGGAAGAGAAACATGTTACAGTCCACAAATGAGATTTTGGTGGAGATGTGCAGGACAAGGCAAATATGCAGGAAACTCAGGATACTCATGCTGATGTTGTCTTAGATTCCCTGTTTCTGGGTGAAGATTAGAGATTGTGCAAGTCTTTCGTAGTCTGATGTGCTGTTGTTTTTTCACCCATGTCTCTGAATTTAAGTATTCTGTAATTTTCTTTTATCACTTTCTGTATCTGAAGATTCTCATTCACTAATTAGGAATTTTATTTTCACTTTTCTGCTTTTTAATAGTTCTCTGTTAGTTTGAACTTTTCAGTATTTCTTTCCTTTTTTAAAAAAAGTGATCAAATTATTAAAAGCATAATGATTTGACTATTGTGTGGTATTACTTGTTATTGCCAAAGCAAATTTCCATTTGATCCGAAACATTTCCTATACTGAAAATAGATCAGCTGAGCTGTGCTAACACATGAAAGTCCCTTATAAAAGGGCCATCTGTGTTCCCAGCTCCTCCTAATCTTAATTCAGAATCCCCTTAAATGTTTACTAATCAAAGTAGTTTAATGAGTACATAAATGAATAATGGAAGGGTAAACACTCTTGGAGAGGTTTTGGGCCAGCTCATGAAGACTAGTCCTTTGCTAGCCAGAATGACTCAGGAGGATTATGTATAAATGTGGTATAAAAATGTGTTTTTAATATTATTCCTTTTTTCTACCCATCCCCTTTGACTCGTCTGTTGTATGCTATGTCTTGTCTTTTTTAGCTTTTTTTTTTCTTCTTCTTCTTCTTCCAGGCAAGAACTTTTTTCTGCTTAGGACCCTGAACATCACAGCAATGCAAATTAATAATAACTGACAGTATATTCAGATATTTCAAGTAGATGCCAGCACAGAGCTCATAGACACACCCCTTCTATAGGGGTATGGCTATAAAACAGTGTTATTCTGAAATAACATAGTCCCCATCTACACTACAAGCAGTTATTTTGACTTAATGTCAAAATAATGTTGACCTGGAGGACTTCTTACTCTGACTCCTGTAACCCTCATTTCATGAGGAGTAAGGAACTCAAAGGAAGAGTGTTCTTCCTCATAGACTCATAGACTTTAAGGTCAGAAGGGACCATTATGATCATCCAGTCTGACCCCCTGCACAGCGCAGGCCACAAAATCTCACCCACCCTTCCTAGAATAATCCTCTCACCTATATCTCAGATATTGAAGCCTTCAAATACTTTGAAGACCCCAAGATGCAGAGAATCCTCCAGCTGTGATCTGTACCCCATGCTACAGAGGAAGGCGAAAAACCTCCAGGGCCTCTGCCAATCTACCCTGGAGGAAAATTCCTTCCCAACCCGGCCATCACCTGAACCCTGAGCATGTGGGCAAGACTCATCAGCCAGACACCCAGAAAGTTCTCTATAGTAACTCCTATCATCCCTCCATTGACCTATTTACCTCTGATAATGAGTGGTCAATTAGTTACCAAGATCATGTTATCTCATCAAACCATCCCCTTCATAAACCCATCCAGTTTAATCTTGAAGCCAGATAGATCTTTTGCCCCCACTACTTCCCTTGGAAGGTCGTTCCAGAACCTCACTCCTCTAATGGTTAGAAACCTTCGTCTAATCTCAAGTCTAAACTTCCTACTAGCCAGCTTATATCCATTTGTTCTTGTGTCCACATTGGTATTAAACTTAAATAATTCCTCTCCCTCCCTGGTATTTATCCCTCTAATATATTTAAAAAGTGCAATCATGTCCCCCCTCAGCCTTCTTTTGGTTAAAGTAAACAAGCCAAGCTCCTTGAGTCTCCTTACATAAGACAGGTTTTCCATTCCTCAGATCATCCTAGTGGCCCTTCTTTGTACCTGTTCCAGTTTTAATTCATCCTTCTTAAATATGGGAGACCAGAACTGCACACAGTATTCCAAATGGGGTCTCACCAATGCCTGGTATAATGGCACTAACACCTCTGTTTCCTTTGACTTCCTGCTGTGTAAACAGTACCAAAAGCTGAAATAAGCTATTTGAACTTAAGCTATGCAATTGACTTAGCTGAAGTTACGTAGTTTATTTTGGCTTTAGCCCTGCTGTGTAGACATGCCCTAGCATAATAACAGCAAGTCCAAGGCTATGTCTATACTACATGCTTCTTGCGCAAGAAGCTTTATATCCACACCTCAAAGCACATTGCAAAAGCGAGGTGTTTTTGAGCAAGAGAGCACCCACACTGCATGGACTGTCTTCTGCAAGAAAGCTCCGATGGCCATTCACAGAATGGCCATCAGAACATCTGTGCTTTTTCTCATAGTGCTTTCTTGCACAAGAAACCCCTCTGGGGCATCCACACTTGCCTTTTTGCACAATAGCTGTAGCGCAAAAAGGAGTTATGCCTCATAAAAGAAGGTTTACCTACGCCAGAAAAAGCCCTCTCTTCTGCTGTTTTACTGTTGATTTACTTGCACAAAAGTGCATTTGAGGTGTGGATGCTCTATGGGTTTTTGTTCAAAAACCTTGCAGTGTAGACGTAGCAGGAGAAACAGAATTCCTCTTTCCAGACAATGTTCATGATATATTCTATAGAACACCTATTCTCAGCCTGCTCCTGTGTACTTGTCTTTGAGCCTCTGGCAGTCTTTAGATTTGTCAGTAATATTTTCTTTTCTTCTTCGCCATGGTTTAACTAGTCAAGTTTCTGAATTTATTAAGACCCTCTTTTAATTGTACAGCTAACTGTTTTCCTTTAGCTGTACAATTACAGGGATAATTACAAGTTACAACAGTGCAGACTTGGCCAGTTTCATGTAATTGCAATGCTACAAATAATGATAATTGTCAACATTATGTGAACTGTAGTGACCAAAATTAAACTTTTATTTCTAGTAGTCTTGCAGATATTCAGCTTCTACAGGAGCAAAGGGGTGGAGCAGCTCACTACTGTTTTTCATTGATGGATGTTAAACATATTTTCTAGTGGAAAATTGAATGTGTTGGAGATGTAGTCAGATACACTAATGATGGAACCAATAGTGATGCTTTTCGTTTAAAAATATTTAGTTTTCAGAGTAAAATCTCATTAAAAGTGTGTGCAGGTTTGTAAAAGGAAGACCCACACCAATGGGTGAATTTTCTATTTTGATTAGAAGCAGGTTTTCATCATAAAATGTTTACTTTTACCTTCTTATTAATAACCTATATTATTAAAAAGGACATTATTTTAAAAATCTAATTGACTTGGCACCATTTACACTTTTTATCATTTGTTTTAAACGTCTTCATTTTGCTTAGTGAGGACTGGTAAAGTAAACTGGTCTAGTCAATCAAATTTAATTCCTTTGGTTAGCTTCACTTTCTTCTTCATATGTCTCAGCTTGAGATTGATACTTTGGAGTTTCCAACACTGTAGGAGAGTGGTTAGGTTATTTTAATGCAAAAGAGAAAACTATTTTCACTGAAATGAAAAAGGAAGCAACCTCATGACCATATGTATAATTATATTGGTTTGGGTTAAAACCCCTCCCATGGGAGCAAAATGCACATTCTTTTCATGTAATCTAAATCTGAGGCCATCACTCTTTGACAATGTGTCCTTCAAGACATGAAAGCATTGGAGTGTGCATCTAAAATATCATATTTCCAGTCCTGTCATAAATTTATGCACCCTGTTTCACAATCCTCAGTGAGACTTCTGGGAGCATAACCTCTCATAGCAGGATCAGGCCCTGAAAGAGGAAGATGAAAAGAGAGAAACCAATTAAGAAGGATCAATATTAACAAATTCTTAGGGCGCATCTACACAGTAGCATTATTTTGAACTAGCTCATGTTGTTTCAAAATAACAAAGTGAGCATCTACGCAGCAAGCCCATTATTTTGAAATAATTTTGAAATAATGGGAGTCTTAGTCCAAATTCTGTAACCCTCATTCTGTGAGGAATAACGCCTATTCTGAAATAGTTATTCCAAAATAGAGTGTGTAGAGGGGGCAGATAGTTTATTTTCAAAAAACTGGCCTTCAGGGCTTCCCACAGGTGCTCTGGTGGCCACTCTGTCCATACTCATCAGAACTCTATAGTTCTTCTTCCCCTACAGCCCTTACAGCCACAGGGGAAAGGGCTTGTGGCCCTGTGCCACACAGCAGCATCCCTCTCTGCCTTCCCTGCTGCCATGGCAAACCCCAGCATGCCTCCTGAGCCCTCCACTGTAGGCAGTGCTGCAGGCAGCTCCCAAGCCTCTGCCCGGGGTCAGAAGTGGAGGGCACCTTCCTGGACTGGTGTGGAGATCCTGGATCTCAATGAGATTTGGGGAGAGGAGGCAAACTGTCCTCCAGGATCTCCACATCAAATGTAGGCATGCTGAGCTCTATGACTGGATGGCCGACAACCTGGGTCAGAGGGGCCAGGTGTGCATTAAGGTACACCCAGGACCAGGTGTGCATGAATTGATAGGATAACGAGCCTTGTGGATAAGGGAGAAGCGGTGGATGTCATATACCTAGACTTTAGTAAGGCATTTGATACTGTCTCGCATGATATTCTTATTGATAAACTAGGCAAATATAACTTAGATAGGGCCACAATAAGGTGGGTGCATAATTGGCTGGATAACCGTAGTCAGAGAGTTGTTGTTAACGGTTCTAAATCCTGCTGGAAAGGGATAACAAGTGGAGTTCCTCAAGGGTCTGTTTTGGGACCCGTACTGTTCAATATCTTCATCAATGATGTAGATATTGGGATAGAGAGTACGCTTATTAAGTTTGCAGATGATACCAAACTGGGTGAGGTTGCAACTTCTTTGGAGGATAAGGACATAATTCAAAATGACCTTAGCAAGTTAGAGAAATGGTCAGAGGTAAACAGGATGAGGTTTAATAAAGAGAAATGCAAAGTGCTCCACTTAGGAAGGAACAATCAGTTCCATACATACAAGATGGGAAGCGACTGTCTAGGAAGGAGCATGGCGGAAAGGGATCTAGGGGTCATAGTGGACCACAAGTTGAATATGAGTCAACAGTGTGATGCTGTTGCAAAAAAAGCAAATATGATTCTAGGTTGTATCAACAGGTGTGTTGTAAGCAAAACTCGTGA